CAATAGGATTATTTATTAGACTAATCTTGACATATTTTATTTTCTATTAAAAAAAGGGGAGGTCGAGTAATGTATAAAGATACTTTCTCCGTTATTTTTTATATTTTACATTTATACTTAACATTTATATTGAGAAATAATGTATTTTACTCTTTTGTTTTTATTTAGTATTTTTGGAACTCAAGTTCTCAATAAATGAATATGATTATTAATTTATTTTGATTATTAATTTAACCAATGAATATGAATAATTTACTTAACTTTTTTACGTTAGTCAAATATATATTTTGAAGACTAATAATTCATAATGGTAAAAAAGAAATAATATGATAATTTATGCATTGATTTTATAAAATAACAAGTATCATGAACCAACAATTTATAGAAAGTAATGATATATAAAATGGACAAATGAGTAATATTTTGTGTAATGATTATATGAAGTTTCTCTGAACAGTAAGTAAAAATTAGGCACAATACATAAATAATTTTTAATTTACCTTATTTTATATTTAGATCCTTCAATTTTGAAGTACACAAGTAGAAACTTAAACAAATATGTCCTACGTGGCATACTAATGACAATTTTACATCCTACATAATTCATGCATTTGCATATATCACATAAAATGTATATGTTTAATTGTTCGATATACTATAAATTTAAGTGTTAACTTATTTAGACTCAAAATTAAAGAACAAAAATATGAAATAAGAATAAATTAATGAAAATAATATAATTTATATATCATGCCTAAAAGTTAAACTGAATCATTCAGCATATTATTTTCAAAGACCTTCGATAAAAATAAAAAAAAATTAAAAAAATAACAATGTAAAATAATTAAGATACATACGAATTAACTTTAAAGTCGCCGCTACTAACATAAACAGATCTCCATATATATGTATATATATAAAAAAGTTGTATATGGATAAATAAATGTATAATAGTAGTATTACCATAATTTTACTAGGGAAAAGCTTGGTTGTTGTCAATTTTTTTTTAAAAAAAGGAAGGATTGGATTAAAATATTTGTTCAAACTTCAATGGCACAGACTACACATCTATATTGTTTGGGACTTGGTGCTAATTCCATAAAATATAACTTCAGTTATATTAAGCATCTTAGATCTGATCCAAACCATTTCTTCTTGTGTCAAAGTTTCAAAGAAAGAAAAGAATCAAACTTTGACAAAAACCATTTCTTCTTGTGTCAAAGTTCTCATAAAAAAAATTTAAAAAAAGTTTCTTCATTCTTGAATTTCAAGAACAAAATAAGAATTCAAATGTGTTGCAACTGGTAATTCCAACTTGAAGGCCCTATACGACTACTGACTTTATACAAGATTACATTGAAGTTTTTCTCCATTGTCATTTTTACGATCTCTTAGTTACCAGGTACGCATGCCTTGCCAATTTCTCATGCTTCATTATAAATTGATGATAATCTTTTGTGTAATTATAATTACCTTTTTCATATGCATATTTATATTGTTTTTTGTCTCACTTCAAATTAATATTAATGTGTTGCTTCAATTCATTAGTCGTGTTCTTTTTTGTTATTAATTCCAACTCTCATTGGCTCTTCTTACTTCTCTATATGCCAAAAATGTTAATGTTTTCCCTTCAGTATTTTTTCTACAATAATTCATTCGTTGAGTCAGCTTAATTATTCATTATATCATAATACCTTTTACCAACACTAACCACAAATAACTTGTAGTTGAAAAATGAGGAAAATAATGGGTAACTAGTATATATCTTGTTCTTTCTTTGTATTTTTTCCCTAGCTCCTCATTTTCTCATGTTATCTATAGCATTCATGACTATGGAAATGGTATAATTTTAGTACTAAAAAATTAACTTGAATTTGTTTTGATGTAGGGCCACATACTATAGTAAAATAGTGCTGTTTACCCTACTCTAATATAAAACATGCACCATAGACAAATGTTTTTATGAATAAGAAATTTTGGAGCTACATCAATTAAATGTGTCGTGCAAACCATGAACTTATGGTCCATCAGTTCGACTTATAGTGCATCTCTAAGGTCGCCTGACCCACCTTCCCCTCCCCCCACCCCATACAATAATTAAAAAGACCATTTCACCAACTAAATGAAATTATTTATATTAAAATCTCAAATTAAAAATAAATGATATTTTAACCTTTTAATTTTATAACATTAATTTTTTTTTTATATTGTCACATATAGTGTACAAAATTAAAGTTTAAAAAGAAGAATGACCAAAAGATCCATTCAAAAGAAAGAGAAAATGATTGAGGGAAGTACAACTTAGAAATTGAATTTTTAAGATAAAAATTCAGACAACAAATTAACTAAGCTATTAAGTTTCTTTTATCAGAGTCAAATACTCTAACATTAAGAAAACTAAAAGACAAGCGTTAACCCTTAAATTTGTTTATATTTTCTTCTTCAGTATACTTTCTTTACAATATTAATAATGCAAGTTCACGTGAATGGTAACATGTAAGTTAACACCTTGGAACTTTAATGATCTTGATTTCTTCAAGTCTTTGTGGACAATCAAAATCAATTAATTAACTACTCCCTCTCTTTCATTATAAATGATTCTTTGAGTATGAAATTTGTTTACACATCACATACAACTTTTATACATAATAAATGATTCTTTGAGCATAATAAATTAATTAAACTCATGCCTCATTTACCGCAATCTTTTCCATTATTTTAAGTAATTAACAGTAGAATAAAATTTGTTTATACACATGATTTATAACTTTTATAGAAATAAAGTTTTAAGTTATACAAGTTCATAGTGTAAAATCTCACTATATTAAGTAATTGTTCAATATATTTTCAAATTATTACTCCTATGGAGTAAAACTTGTTAGGATTAGTACTTATTTATTGTACATAAGGGTAGATTTATTTACTCTTATACACTTCTCTTTTACGAACCTATAATTATCACTTCTTGCCCTAATTATAGATTTGATTCACCGAGTTTTTTTCTCTGTCTAACAATAGTTGTTTAGTATATATTGTTTTGGAATGTTTAATAATATTTGTCCACTTTATTAAATCAATATATAATTTTACACTTAGTTTCCAATTTATCTTTATCATTAATTATAGTCATTTCTCTATTACATTCAATTTTTAAAACATTGTATTTATTATATTCAAATAGTGATATAGCAAATATAATTACCCTTCTATTTCATAGTTTCTTAAGAATTGTGCAACATAGATATTTTATAAGTATTATTGGAGAGAGATAGTATAGCTTGACATAATTGCATAAAAATCTTTAAGTTAAACCGTTAGCGTAAATGCAAAATGTAACAAAAATTCACTTTTATAAATCAAAAACAAAATATAATTTCTTATAATTATATCCGATTATAAAAGATAATCATAAATAATAATGGAAATACATATAGATAAAAATAAAAAAAAGGTTGTCGAAAACAATAATTTTAAAAATATTAATAATAAATAAATTTATAATATTACAAAGATGAATTCATAATTTAATTTTTAAGTATTTATTTCTTAAAAGATATTGCATTAAATTTATTATATTTTAAGGTTATATTATATTTATATTTTATTTTATGATAAAGAGTTTTTTAAAATTTATTTATACAAAACAAAGTTCAATAAATTTTCTCTATAATCATTATAGTTGTGTGATCTTTTGAGTTATTAACTCTAATTTATTAAGATAACAATTATTTACTCTCAAATAATTTAAGTGAGAAAATAGTGAACATGACAATAAAAATTTTATTCTCCTAACTAGTTAAAAATGTTATAAAAAAATAATATTCTCCATTAATTATCTACTTTGACTCAATTACATGAAATACAAAATTTCATAATACCTCTAGGGTATAATTGAAAAGTTTTTTTAAAAAACTTTTAAATCACACACAAAAATTAGATAAGAAACAATAAATCAAACACTTAATAAAAATAATTTCTACATTACTAATGCCTACAATAATAATCCCTGTATTGCTAATCCCTATATTACTAATCCCGACATTATTTATTTTTTCACCAAACAATCCCTTAAAATATTAATGGACTTTAGTATAGCCCTGTTACAATATGTTTGAATAGTAATAATAAGAAGATGAAGTATTAAAAAAACCCAAATATTGAAAACATCCCATGTGGAATCTCCACTTACACTGCATTGGGAGTAGATACTTGTATTCCATTTTAATTTTATGCTACTCTGAGGGTGACTGATCTCACCTCGTGCTCATACTACTTTACTTAGTCACCATGTGAAGCTACCCTAATTGTTTTTAAAGAAATAATAAGTTTAATATAATAATAGAAACATTACTAATAATATGAATATAATTATTAATATCTCTTATTCAACATTATTCTTATATTTTATTGAACAAACGGATCATTAAATGATATTTTTTCTGTCCCAAATTATTTGTCTAATTTCTTTGTATGTTCATTTTCACAAATCAAGAAGAGATAAAATAATTTATACTTACTACACCCAAAATTAATTAATTTAGAAAAAGCTAGAATTTTAAAAATATTAAATTCTTAAGTCATCCACTTTATAAGTAATAGGAGTAAAATGAAAAAATCACTATATTAATCATTATCTTGTTAATAAGTGTGTCAATTCAAAAGTGAATGAGTAATTCGGAAACAAAGAGTACTTCCTTAGTTTCGTTTTACTTTTGCCCCTATAACAAAATAACTAGATGTTTCATTTTAACAAATCAATCTAAGGGTGTTTTATTATTTTTAGTATTTGTTTTCTTTGTTTAAAAGTAATAATCTAATTTGATTTGAAACGAAGCTTAAGGAAAGAATTAAATATTAAATTTTAAATTTTATCGATTTAAATTAAAGCGATGTCAAATGTATTAAAATGTTCTTTAATTTTGTGACCTTAAAAATTTCCCGTGGAAAATTGAAGTGAAATTATTACTAAAAAAATGTGTCATTCTTTTTTAAACAAACTAAAAAAGACCAGGTTATTTTTTTAAACGAATGGAGTAATTAACTACGTAAGATTGTTGTGTATTCAAATTTAAAGTTACTAAAAATCATAAAAAGATTTATACATTTAAGTACAGTTTTAATTGAAAAAATTTAAAAGAATGTGTCAAGCTAACTAGGGCCAAGTGATAGAGTATAAAACATAGGGAGTACAATAAAGTTACAAATAGTATAACATTTTTACTGCATATTGGAGTAATACAACTTGATTATCACGCAATGAGCATAAGATTCTTCTGCTAAAATATTGGAAAGTACATAAATTTCTTTGCTCAATGTTAGATCTTATAACAATAATTTTATAAAAATCCTTATGCAGGCATGCTTTAATTTATTGTTCACCCAAATTAAAGTTATGTATACAGACCGTGAGTTAATGTCAAGTATAATGATTAAATTTATTTTAGTCACAAATAATTCAATAAATCGGTTAAAAATTTAATAAAATCATCTTATATATAATATGATATCAAAACAAGCAAAGATCTAACTTTAATCAAATATTACTGTCACTTAGCAATAAAAAAATTTAAACCACATGAGAAATAATATATAGAAAATATTATTAAATAATTAAAAATGTACTTTATTTTTAGTGGTGAAGTCACCAAAATTTACCCAATACAACAACACAAAGAATTCATGATGAAATTGAATTTTTCTAGCTATACAATAGTAATAAAAATTACTCAATTTTACCCACTGTTAGTGACATGCTCTTTCCTGCAGTCATATACTCTCTAGGTTCATTTTTTCTTGCTTCATTTCATTTTACCTGATTCTATATCAAAAAAAGATATATGCTTGTTCATTTTAGCAATTAAGAGAATTTATTACTTTTATCCATGTATAACTTTTAGTATTGAATAATTCTATAAAGTAGCGTAGCGGCAATCAAATTTAGACTTAAACATCTTGAATAAGAATAATTTACTAAAATACACAATCTAACTAAAAATATTCTCAAGGAATGTACAATTAGGGTAAAGAAGTTGAAAGTAATATGAAATAGAGGGAGTTGTTGCATACTTTAGCATATGAAGATTTTATTTTTTAATATTAATTACTTATTCATCGAATAATTATTTTCTTTTTAAGTCAATTGAAACTAAACATCATTATATAGCTACTATTATAGTGGTAAAATATGTATTCTCTTTAGTGATTAAGTATTGACTTAAAACACACCAAAATAATAAGGGTAATTGTTAAAATAATTATAGAAAGACATAATATATATTTGGAGTTTTTGCCCTTGTATATTTATGGAATGAGAGTTGTATGGTTTGTAGAAAAACATATCATGTGGTTACATATATGTTTAGAGTTGTTGAGAATTTAAAAAAGGTAAAAGAAATGCAAATTGGTTGATAGTATAAGACAAGGAGAAAGACAAGTCCAAGATAGAGACAGTGAAAAAGTACTGGGTCCATCCAGCCAAGACATGAAATGTAGAATTTATGACATTAATTCCTAATAGGAGAAGAAAATATTACACCAACTTGGATTCTGTATGAGGGCTCTCTCTCTAAAGTCACATCTCTTACATTCCCTTCTAAGCTCTCTTTCATTCTTCAACCTACAAACTTGTATCCCCACCAGAACTATTCATCATAACAACACTTGCCCCCCCCCCCCCTCCCCTCTCTCTCTCTCTTTTTTACTCAATGTTAAATATTAATATATTAATATTAAAGTTTGATTAAATTTACATTTTCACCAATATAAAAAGGTTTCATATTAAGGCATAAAGACAATTCTGTATCAGTAAGAAAATTCAAACCAGAGATATTTGATTAAGGATGGACAAATAGTTACTACTCAACCATAATCTTTACAGTTATACCTAACCTTCTCTCAAAAATGGTGACTTTTTTCTCATAAAATTAGTGCTTTTATTGTGAATTTTTTTGAAAAGAAAATAATTTTTTATTTTAAAAGGGAAAAATGTTTGAATTATATCTGGATATTGATAGAAATTGTTACAAATTTTGGGCAAGACCTATTACCCTCTACACTATTTAATATATAAGTGCTCAGCTTGACAAGTTATTATTCATAATGATGCAACATTTATGATGTCCACGTGGACATCTATGCATCTTTCAAATACACTATTAAATAATTCAGGAATAATAAATTCTACCCAAAATTTAAATTTGTTATAATAATTCCAATTAAAATTCTAATATATTTCAAAATTTTCCCCCTTTTTAAAATGAAAATCGTATATGGAGTAGACGAGAGATGATTATTAAAAGAGGTAGGATATGAAATAATGTAAGGAATACTTAATCGCGCTTTTTACCATTTCTGTCGTCTCTATTAAAGTCTTGTTTTACCCTCTTCTTTTCTAGGTAAATATTTCTACCCTATTACCTACCAAATACATGGTCTTCTCTACTCACTTGGAAAATACAAAGAACAATAGCATAAACCAAAAAAAAAACCCCCCCCCCCCCCACATTTTATCTTCTTACTGCCGGGAGTAAGTTGTTTTGATGATAGGAAAAATGTACAAGTATCTTCTTAGATTATGAATCGAAATTATAGAGATATACATTCATTAAATTAAGATTCTATTATCTTTTTGAACTCATTTTTTTTTAATTTTGTGCACTTTTTGGTTTACGTGGCATCCAAATATCTCCACGTGCCTTAATTGCATGAATTCACGGAGTGTGCAATGTAAGACAAAATGTGTACAAAATTACAAAAAAATAAGTTCAGGCGGTAATAGAATATTAATTTAGTTAATGTATGTCTCTCGAATTTCGATCATACTCTAGGGATACTTGTGAATTTTCCTAAAAATAATACTACATAATCAAAGACGCTGCCAACGTACTAGCCAAAGGCGTAATCATGATTAAAATTTTGGGTTTCTAAATTTTCTTTAGATTTGTTAATCAATTTTGTTAAGAATTCACAAATTAATATACATATTTAATATATATTTAATGAATTTTCTAATACAAATACAAAATCTACATAAAAGCTACTAAATTCATACAATTCATAATCCCCACCTATCTTCGCCGCGTCTTGTACTTGCACACACAATTCCCAGAAGCTCATCATTCACACTCGTCCTTTTCAATTGCTCTCATTTTCCTTGCGTGGCCTACTTTTTATAATTGTAAATTAATTCAATTTATTGTTTCAATAATTTTAAAGATTGTTAGGATGCATGATAGAAATACAAAAAATTACTTTTAAAATTTAGAAACATTGAGACAATATTTAGAATCTAATATTTTAGCTTATTTATTGAGCATACAATAAACTAAATATACACTTATTGTGAAACCAAAGAATATTTAGTTGTTTTCTCAGTTCAGTTTTACTTACATAGGTTTTCAATTTTTTTCTTGTTTTACCCAAAGCATTAAGTACTTACTTTTCATATTATTTTTCTAAATCCAATATAATAAACATCAATTATTAAATGTAGTTTAGTATAATAATCGTATCGATTGTTGTTTTTATAATGAGCGTCTCAAGTCTAGGCATAAGAAGTAAAAGTAAATTGTGTAAAATTTTACTCCTAAAGTCGTACTAATTTCTTTTGCATGTATATTTATGTCTGCCTCTGTTTACTTGTAGTACAACACATATGCAGATGTTCTACAATATGTAGAAGAAAAATATTAAAACAAATCACAGAATAATAATGCATTTGATACCTTTTTGTAGGTGTAGTTTTGAGAAAATAATCAACATGGATGGTCATGGATACTCACCTCAAACAGTTAAACGTAACAAAAAGGGGAAGAACCACCGTCACGCGGTGGTGGATCATGATGATAAGATCAAGTGTAGTGGGAAGTCATGCAGATCATGTAGTGGTGGTTTAATCGCGGATTGCGTAGCAGTCTGTTGCTGCCCTTGTGCTGTAGTAAACATTTTAGCATTGGCATTTTTAAAGATCCCTTGGATGGTGGGACGTAAATGCTTGAGAATGGTGAAAAAGAAAAAGTTGGAGGACAAAAATGACAAGAGTATTACTATTACCGATAGTACTGTACAAGAAGGAATACATGTGGAACAAGAGTTAAAAGACAGTTTTAGTACAACAATTGATGTAGACCAAGTTTGGTTAGACTTGTATCAAGTTGGTAGTATGGGTTTTGGCAGAGTTTCATTCACAGGAACTAATTAGGTTCAAGTATTATTTTCGCAGCGCTCTATGAAAATCCCAAATCATGAAACCGAGAAATTTCATTAATGCATTGTGAAAGAGTATTTATCACTCCTTCATACTCTTCAATGGTATAGTTTAATCATCTGTTAGCGAGATTAGTTGATATGTATCTCTTTCAGCGCCATTTTCATCACTTCATATTACATCCTTCTGAATTGTACAGTTAATTTTGGTGATGTTTCTTTGGAATAAACATGGCTCATTTTGAAGGAAAATGAAATTGACTAGTTTAGTATGTACAGTATTTCATGTCATAAACATTTGTTTCTTCTATGTGAATGTAGAGGTAACAGTAATGCTTTTGCATAATAATATTGCTCATTTTGTTTCATTGGCTAGTAAAATAAAGAGACTTAATGTATAGAATTCAAAACCCTAGCTTGTATTAATTATCAGTACTCATGAATTAGACTTGCTAAGCAAATCAGTAAGAAAATCATGCTTCAAAATTCTAAGGTCATCTCTTTAGGTGTACTTATGTTGCATTTTCAGATAGCATATTAGTGTCTTGAGCTATTCATTATTTCAGTTGCATTTTAGCTATATACATATTTAGTTAGGAGTAGACTTAGCACCGAGTTGGACTAAGGTTCAGTGTGCCCTCACAGTCCTAGAACTATGCGCCAACGTAGGTTCAAAAGTCCCCTCTGTTGGGCATCCGTTTTAGTCATCACGCCACATTCATGCTTCTATACCCCTTGATGAGTCCTCGAATTGGACTCATTTGGGGCTTTACTTTAATGTAAATAATGTCCTAAAATTGTCCATTTTATCTAAATATCTGATGAAGACTCTTGAGTTTTAGGTATTTGAAGTTTTAGCGTAAGCATGGACACTTAGGTGGAACAAAAAGGATGAAAAAGAGCAGAAGTTGAAGCCTGAGTTTCGCCAAGTATACTTGGCAATCCGCTGAAGAGTTGCATTTCTCCCTTGTTTCAACATGTGAAGTCCTGAAAGAAGTGGATTAAGAAGGTGATGAAAAGAAGCAGTCAGCGCTTCGCCGAATAGTTTAGCGAAACAGAGTTATTCTGCCCAATATCATAACATGCATAGACAATGAAGGCAAGGAACAAACAACGACGAACTAAAAGAATGGGAATCTCCTAATCACTCGGCGATTCACGACTAAATTCGCCGAATGGATTCCCCAGTACTTAATTTGAAGTCTATAAATGCTAAACTCTTTCTAATTTTAGAGAGTTCGAACATTATTATCAATATCCACTTTTCGAACTTAGTTTTAATATTTTGTCTCAAGTTTGGAGAGGGTTTTGTGGAAGACTTGAAGAAAGAGGTTCTTTTTCCTCAAATTGGATGTGGGTCTTTTCCATTCTCCTTTGCTCATATTAAGGTTTAATTTCTTATACCCATTTGATTACTTTATCATTTAGGTGTATTTGATTATTGCTTGATGTGTGGCTAAAAACCCCATTCTTGGGGTATGATTTAGCAAATATATGTATTGATATTATTGTTGGGTCTTGCGTGCAGATAGGATTAGATGTATTTTAATGGTGATTTCACATAGTAATTGTGGTTTAAGTTAATGGATTTGTAGTTGAAAACAAAATCACCTATGTGTTTCTGGCTTGCTCGAGAGAAAGAGGTTATGAAACCAAGACCGCTAGATTGATGTCCTAAGGAGTGGGGTGGCAAGAGGCTCAACCCAAGAGAGTGAACCCTAGATTCATATCCAAGTACCTTTCATCAAAAGAGCGGGTATGGATAAGGCATAGGTTGGTATTCATTACACGAGTGGATGTCCGAGAGGAACCCTTTTGATAAAGGGTAAGTTGCCCAAGAGCGAATTTACTTTCACCAAATCTTGTTACAATTATTTTGCAAATTTTCCTATCGAAAGCAAGTACCCATTGATTTATGTCAACATATATATTAAGGTCACACCCTAAGAACTTTTCCCCATACTTGATTCTCCCTTTATTTTAATTGTTGTTACTACTTGTGACAAAACACCCCTTTCGTTATTTTACACTTTGGTGTTACAAATTAAATTTATTTTGTTTTTATTCGATAATGTCTTAAACTTCTACTAGCTAGAATGAAATTCTAGTGTAACTACTATTTTCAATACCGCTCCCTTGGGATACGACCACAACCCTTGGTTGGGTTACTATACTTGCTATAATTCGTAAACACTCAGACTATAGGGTAGTGTCGTTGATCAAGAAAGCCTAACAAGAATCAAAATGGCGCCGCTGCTGGGGAGTGATGTCATGTGAAAATTTAGTTTTTATATAGTTTTAGTTCTTTTTAGTGTAGTGATTACTAATTTAACATTTTGTTTTTTTTAATTGTGTAAACATTTCAAAAATCATGAGTGTTAATGGTAGTAACGGGAGCCAGGTGGGACATCAGGATGATATCGACAACATCAACGATGTCCAACAGCCCAACATTAATGATTCTTACTCAGCAGAGGGAAATGTAGTATTCCACATAACAAGCACCATGTTGCAACTCTTTCAACTAAAGAGACTTTTCAGTGGATTAGCTCACGAGGACCCACATGAGCACCTTCAAAATTTTGTAGAGGTGTGCGGACCATTCTCATTCAAAAACATCTCTCAAGAATCAGTCAGATTGAGCATTTTTCCTTTCTTATTAATGGGCGAGGCATGCAAGTGGCTAGTTGAGTTCCCATACAACTCAATAACCTCGTGGGAAGAATTGGTTACCGCTTTCAATGTGAGTTTTTCCTCTCCTTCGAAGATGATGACCATCCGGGACAAAATCCAAAGCTTCAAGCGCTTGAATGGAGAGCCTCTACATGAAACCTGGATCCGGTTTAAAAAACTAGTGCTACAATGCCCAACACATGGTATTCTTGATAACATGCTCCTTCCATATTTTTACAGGAGTTTAGAATCAATCAACAAAAGGGTTGCTCAGCTCTCACCCAAAGGTCTCAAGCAACAACCATACATAGTGGCAGCCCAACTTTTAGATGGAATGAAACCATCAACAGAGCATGGTACAGTCGTGAGAAACAAGTTTCCCTGGTAACCTTTCAAATATCTAAGAAACTAATCGTAAAGGAAAATGAGAGGGGCCAATATGACTAAGATTATGACACAACTTGATATTCTTTCTAAGAATGTCATTGGGGCAGGGACCCATATTGTCAATGATGTGGGAGTTGGGAACACGAATCCTGATGAGATGAAGTTTGAAGCTCTGAGCACTGAGGAAGTCAACTTTCTAGCAACCCTAGACGGTGGCTATCATTCAAACTACTCAAGTCAGGGTGATAACCAAGGCTGGGATAGAGAAGAAGGATAGAAAGATCGAGATCATGAATGGAGGGACCAAAATCCTAATAGAAAAGATGGGGGAGAAGAATATATATGTAACTGTCCATGGTAGGTCTGAGGATATGCTCTCGTGTATCCTGAACAAAGTTGAAGGGTCAGACAAGATGCTTAAAGTCATAAAAGAAGATCTATCCACCCTTAGCAAGACCGTCATCTCTCATTCAATTTCAATCAAGCAGTTAGAGACCCAAATGGATCATATCTCGTCTCATCTCAATCCGAGACAACAAGGGGGTTTACCTCGTGAAATTATATTATTGAATTCAACAGAAGGAAAAGTAGTGGTAATGAATGGGGATGAATCTTCTTTAACGTCAGAAGTAAAAGAAAAGCAAGACTAAGATCCTATTTTTCTTGAATTAAAGGCAAATGTTCATATGCAAAAAGTATTGACTTTTGAACAAGGGGGAGATGTCGTATTGAGGTACCAAGGTAGGTTATGTTTTTTCAAGGTGGTATGAACTCCTAAAGAGTACCATATAGGAAGATTGTAGCTCCAAATACTCCATATTTCCGGGTTCCACAAATATGTATCATGATTTGTGAAAGGTTTATTGGTGGTGTAATATGAGGAAGGGAAGTTCATAGTTTGTTGTCAAGTGTCCGAATTGCCAACAAGTTAAAGTAAAGCACCAAAGTCCTTGTGGTTTGGCTCAAAATATAGAACTTGCAAAATTGTAGTAGGAGATGATTAATATAGATTTCATCGCATGTTAACCAAGGTCTCGTAGGTAACATGATTCTTTTTGGGCGATTGTGGATCGCAATGACCAAATCAACCCACTTTTGACGATAAAGACTACACATACATTAGAGGATTATGCTAAGTTTTATCTTCAAGAAAGGGTGAGCATTCATGGGGTTCTGGTCTCTATTATTTTTTGAGACAGAGGTGCACATTTCAATGCATAATTTTGGAATTCATTCAAAAAGGGCTTGGGTTCAAAGGTGAACTTAAGTATTGCCTTTCATCATCATACAAATGGGTAAGCAGAGCGCTCTATTCAGACCTTAAAGTATATATTGAGGGCATGTGTGATCGATTTCAAAGTTAATTGGGATTATCATCTACCTCTCATCGAGTTTGCTTACAAAAAAAGTTACAACTCTAGAATCAAAATGACTTTTTAGGTTTCTCTTTATGGGCTAAGATACAGATCTCCTATTTGGATTGTTCCATGGTGGTTATGCTGGGTTGATAGAACAAGATTCAGTTCACCAAGCTACGAAGAAGGTGATTGTTATGCCTCGTATTTTTATACGTAGTGCGCGTCATGATCTAGTAGACATAAATTCGGGGAATGAGATTTTATTTTAAGTTCCAAGTGATTAAAGAAATATTAAGCAAGGATGTTGATTCCAAATGTGATATTAAGTATGATTTGGCTAATGTAAGTTCCATTAACTTTAACTGAGGGATTAATTAGTGGCTGATTAGGATTAATTTAATCCAGTGGGCCCCACCACTCAAGGCAAAAATAAAAGGAATCAGATTGGGAGCTGGCCTTAGTGGGACACGTGTAGAAGGGGGGCTTCCGCCACTCCATACTATAAATGAGGTGGTGAAATCCACTCCATACTATAAATAAGGTGGTGAAATGCATTGCTGCATATCATCTTCTTCACCACTTGGCTTAGGCAGCCATGGAAATGGAGAAAACCAACCCTGCAACTCTTGGCCAGCAGCTGCAAATAATTTGGTTAGTAATATCCTTGCTTGGTGTGTTAATTATTTAGAATACCTTTGTTAATTATCCATTAATATTAAGAAGGGGTGTGACCAGTAGCTTAGGAAGTTTGTTTTAGTTATTGAATGTGCTAAATATGAACGGAAACCATAATCGGATTATTAGTGGTGTCGTGTTAGTGTTTGGACTGTTTTGATTAAAGCAAACTATGGGAAATTCTGTTTTGACGTCATGTATATGTTAATGTGATTAT